GCACACGCGCTCGCACACGCACACACACACACACACACACACACACACACACACACACACGTTCAAATATTAATGTCCAGGAGAAGCCGTTGTGTTATTGTTCTTGATATAGCTCTTCTGGCTCTTTCTATTGCACTTGCTCTGGTTCATTCTCAGCCGCCGCAAACACAAAACGTTACAAATAAAACCGTTAGTTCTCGAAGCTGCAGCTCGGATACGATGCTGAAAGCTTCAAATGCAATGTTTTTCATAATGGTGTAGCACGGTGCACATTCATTATCGGAGACCTTGCGGACGGCTGCACGGCAGGAAGCGCTGGCTTGTTTGCAGGAAGTCGTTGTAAACAGTCAAAGTTAGAGTTGAAGCCGGCGGTGGCGTTGCATCAGCGTCTGATGAAACAACAGTGACAGACTCACAGCTTCTCTTTCTGTTTTCACTTGAATTTAATGAGTGGACATCCTAAAGTTACCAATGCATGAATAACACTTGGGGAGATGTGTGTAAAAATATGTAGTATATTTGCATTTGATTGCATAATTCAGCCGTGTAAAACATGGAGAATGTTATAACGCTTCAATGACTAATAACAAAACCTGGAACACAATACATGGTCTTCAAAATATGTTTTCCTACTTTTTAATTACTGTTGTATTAGAAACTTGTAAATAAACGTTATAATACGCTAGCTTTGGAACCAATTTTTACAAAAAAATGTTAAGTTGAACAATGACGATTTAAAGTAATAACAATGTTGATATTTTTTGTCTAAAACCGAATTTATCGTCCTATTTTCTCTATTTTATAAATTCAGAACAATTCTGAGGTTAAATTATTTTGGATTTTGGAAACGAGGAGAAGGGGAGGAGCGCTTGTATGTTCAATGACTCCTCTGCATGAGGCGGGAGGAAGAAGGTGGAGGAAGAGGAGGCTTCAGAAAGCATCAAATGTTGATGTTTGGAAGAAAAACAAAGATGTTCATCTCCATCGCTCTCTCCTGCTAATTAGCGAAAGAACAGATGACATTTAAATATCTGTAATTCTCCTTTTTTTAATTCTGTCTCCGTTTCCTTCATTTTCTGCCAAACCCCGACTCCTCTCCCCCTCCTCTTTCCTGTCTTCCTCTCCTCCACTTTCATCTCCCCCTCACCTCCCTCCCCCTGTCGTCCTCTTTTCCCAGCTCTGTGTCGATTAATTAATTGCCGGCTAATTTAATTTCTCAAAAAGTAATAACTTGTTTAAGCATGAATAAAGACTGACAAGGCAAAGTTATAATCTGCCCAAAGTTTAATTAGAGCCGGCAAGGTTTCCACAGCGCCAGACTGGGGGGTCAGAGAC